AGGTGTGACAGCAGCAGGCCAGGCCCATAACAGAATAGTTCAGGCCCTCACCTGACCTTTCTCAGTGGGTTCTAAGAACTTCCCATCCAGTTCCATTAGCCAAGTCGAGGAGATATGACCCAGGAGTCAAGGTCCCATCACCTGAAAGGAAGGCTGAGTTGAGGTAGATCCCCACACTAGGAGTCTGCTTCAGGAGGTGGCTGAGAGGCCTGCTTCATTCCTACACTGAAAATCTCTGTGCCGGGTATGAGAATTGATGGCTTCCCGATTTGCTGTGGACATAGAGCAAGGCCATGAGGAGTGGAAATGGGGGCATAATCTGCTTTGTCCACACCCAAAGCCCCTGCATCAAGGGCCAATTTTGCAGGATAAGGCCAGGCTCCGCAATACCTCCCCTGCTATTTCCTCATCTCCATTATCTTTCCTTTATCCTAATATTCTCTGACCAAAATTAATTCCCCACCAGAAAGTGGAATGCAAGTCATGCCCCCCCAATTCATCTCTGTTCCCCTTGCCAGTCTCTGTTTGTAGTCCACCAGACAGTGTAGGCAATTGTTCTCTGCCTATCCCCCACAGAATCTGGACTCTCTGAGGGTAGGGGGAATGGGAGAAAGGACAACCTGGAAGCCATTTTTCCATGTCAGAGCCCTGCCTCCTATCCTCCCCAGCTAAGGACCTTAGCCAGTCTCAGCCTTGGTTTCTCATATGTTACCTGGGGGTCATAATGCCTGCCCTGCTGGATTGGAGATATATTTTGCTAATGTCTATAGTTCAGTGATCCATAATCATTTTTTAAAAACATTCACTTTTTAGTTTTAGGTGGACACAATATCTTTATTTTATTTTTCTGTGGTGCTGAGAAGTGAACCCAGTACCTCTCGCATGCTAGGCGAGTGCGCTACCACTTGAGCCACATCCCCAGCCCAACCATAAGCATTTTTAATCACAAAAACTCTTGTTTAATTTCAATCTCAAGAGAAATTCCAGTACATAAAATAGCTCTGTTGGTGGGTATATCGTCATATCCTGGGGGTTCAGACAGTCCAACATGAAAAGACCTGGCCCCAAATCTGACAGCCAACTCCAAAACTAACTGGAAATGGCAGAGCAGCGAGAGGAGGTGGATGGATTGTTTGACAAACTGGCATCAAATCTGGGTGTATCTCTGTGGAGCAGAAGTAGATATGGGGAGTGGAGAATGTGCCACACATGACAGTGGCCTGGGGGCTCTAAGAGCAAGAAGATGCCACCAGGTGCCCACGTCTCACTCTGAGTGCCCCTCTCTGGTTCCTCACAGGAGGGGGGTGAGGAAATAAGAGAGCCCCTTGCCATGGTTGCCTCTCACCTGTTGGACTTATTCTCTGTTCTTCACACAAACACTTTGCCTCACCCTGCACCTGTCAGCTCTAATGCCCTTTCCCTAAATCTTGTCTATTCAAATCTGCCTTGCTTTTTTTTAAAGAGAGAGAGAGAGAGAGAGAATTTTAATATTTATTTTTTAGTTATCGGCGGACACAACATCTTTGTTTGTATGTGGTGCTGAGGATCGAACCCGGGCCGCACGCATGCCAGGTGAGTGCGCTACCGCTTGAGCCACATCCCCAGCCCCTGCCTTGCTTTTTGAGTTCACATTGTCACCACATCTGGGAAGTCTTCTGTGATTGTCCCCAGCCAAGAGTAGCATTTCCTTCCTCCAGCCTCCTTTGGGGCAGAGGGCTATGGCTAAGAGCTTGGGGCTCAGTTTCTCTGTCTGTAAGATGGGGCTTAAGTGAGAAGATCCATATAAACCCCCAGCACAGTAGGCAGATGGAAGTCACTCGGTAAACAGCAGCTCTTCGTTATGTTATTGTAGTCTGTTCCACGGGTTCTCTTTCAGGCTCTGGCACATAGTAGGTGTCCACTGAATGCTTATCCCAGTGACCAGCAGGTGGCCCCACACCCCAATTAACCTGTCTTGCTTGCCACCAGATCCTCTGAGCCCCAAGAAGCTAGTCCCCTTGAGTCACTTTCTCCTGGTCAGGAAAAACAGAGAGGGTAGAACTGGTAGAGTGCTAGTTAGCTGGACACATCACCTAGCAGATTCTGGTGATCAAAGCCTTTGGGTTTGGCCGCCACATCCCCTTCTCCGTCACACCCTTGCCCTACCCTTGTGAGGGGTACTCCCATTTAACAGGTAAAAAAACTTGGGGCCTAATAAAGTACATGGACTGTCTGAGACCTCAGAATATTCTTCACAATTCATCAGCCAGTGGTAACATGTCTGCCAAGAATGCTGGGAAAATCTGATACTCTTTAATCATTACCTTATCTTATTGATGGGAAACTTCAAAGATGAAAACAGACTTGACCAAGGTCTCAGGTAAACCAAAGCTCAGGTCTCCTGGCTCTTATTGACCCTACTCTATAGGACAGGAGATAGGCTTCCTGTATGCTGATCTTGATACCAAGTGGTGGCTGCCCAATGGGACAAAAGGAAGATTTTTACCCCATTAGACTTGAGAGCTGCTGCGAGGAACCCGTAGGGATGAGGAGGCTCAGCCTAAGGCAACCAGGTGTGGAGATAGGCACACAGGGTCTGATGTACCACTCCTTCCCCATGCCTGCAGGAGAGACAGTTTTATGCAGGCCTGAAAACAGAGACCCCTATAGAGACTGCAGCAGGCTGCATTTTGAGTCTCAATTCTGATGCTGCAGTGGAGGGGCTGAAATGAGGGCGAGGATGGAGAAGGGATGGTATAGAATAGCAATGAGCCAGGCTGCTGGAGGCCAGCCAGGACCAGGTTCCCAGGACAGAATCAGGGGTGATCTTTCTCTCTCTCTCTCTCTCTCTCTGTCTCTCTCATCTCTCTACCCCACCCCTCCTTCTCACTCTCGCTCTCTTCTTCCCTCTTTCTCGTGTGTGTGTGTGTGTGTGTGTGTAATCCTTAAGTGAAACCTCCCTGCAAAGCCACTATGGAGCGTGTGCAAATGCCTGTATGTCTGGATTAGCTGATGTGAATGTGTGGCTACCTGGGTTTAGCTCACCTGATACTGGCTGATTATCAGAAGATTTGTTCCCATTTCAGAGATGTTATACTGAGTGTGACTTGGCAGGGCATCCAACCTCCAAGTCTAGGCTTGTGAGAACTGCATCTAATGCCAGAGATGAGGGGGGTAGGCTTTGGGCTGGGTTTGTCCCTGGGTCACAATCCTCATGGGCTCTTGGAAGTGATCCAGAAGACATGGAATATAAGGGGGCAATCCTTCTATCTTCTCCCCTGCTGACTACTTCTACAACAGAGGAAGGGACATGGTCCCTTCCCCGCAATAGCAACAAGCTAAGTCTAATCAATAAGAATCCTTCCCCAGGACTGGCATGTGGACACCTGAGCAGATGAGAGACCCTATGAGACTTCTACAGATGTGTTCTTGCCTGTGGAGAAGACTAGTGCATTGGAGGCTCAAGGCCAGCCCCTGGAAGAAGCACAGACTGGCAGAGTTGAGGGGCCAATAGAACCCTAGAGCATAGTCTCTGAGGGGCCAATAGAACCCTAGAGCATAGACCAGGGTCCCTGAGACCCTGGTCTCAGATATTCTACATCCAATTCTGTAGCCTATCAGCACATGCCCTGGTCTCTGAGGTGCTTCAATTCTCTTTTGACTTAGATTGTCCCATGACACCCTTTCTCTGTGAGCCATGTCCTTCCTTCATAGACTATATCACGGCCATAATTTGATACATATTTGTATGTTTTATCTGTCTCCATCATGAATATAAACTCCTTGAGGTAAGAACCTTGTCTGCAGGTTCCATAGCTGCTTTCTTTGTACCCAGCACAAGTCCCAGGCACAGTGGGTGCTCAGGAGCCAGATGAGAGAGTCCATCTGTACCTCTGCAGCTCTGTCACTAGATGGACTATATATATAACTTTGCATCTGGCCAGCATTTTGCCAGACTTAAAGGGTATGCTAGGAAGGTTGGCCTGAACCACTTCCACGGGGACCCTCAAATAATTCATCTGGCCACCCTCCTTTGAAGCTCAGAGATAAAGGTCCATGAGTAGAGGCCTAATTTTTTGGATGGAAAGTCCTAGGGGTAGATTTGAGGCAGGACTGCCTTTTCTCTCAGATACTAGGTACTTACTTCTCTCCTTCCTGATGGTAAGGTTACTGGGGTAGCTAATGGGGTTTGGGTATAAGCCACTTATCAGGTACCCACTAAGTACTTCACACATATCATCTGCCCAAATCCCCCAGATGACATCCCGAGGTGGGCAATCTCCTTTCCAGTACATAGTTGAGGAAATGGAGGCCAGAAAAGCTGAGGGACTTGTCCAAGGTCACCAGGCTGGGAAATAGCAAAACATCTCTGGAGCGCTTGCCTATGCCCTGCCTTCTAACATCTCTGTGCCCTCCTCCAAGCCCTGAGGGAAGTGAGGGCGGAGGAGGGAGTGCTGCCTGAGCCAGATGAGCTCTTGGAAAACTTGGAGGTTTCAAGATTGAAGCTGGGGGAGAAATGCCACAGTAAGGGCCCCCTTGAGGCTGCCCGCAAGGGCTCCTGAGGGGTGAGGGTTCTCTCTTACTGCAGTAGTGAAAAGACAGTCTTCCAGCATCCTGTCCCCTCCCCTCTCTGATATTCTTGCTGCCAAATGAAATCTGGCAGCTTCTGAAAATAGCTCAGCGCTACAGCAGGCACTCTGCCCGCCCTTCAGCAGACTGGCACACAGCTGGGGGTGGCCACTGTGGGCAGACGCTGGCACATGCAGGGACGGGGGTGGGTGTCACACACACAGTGCACAGGGGCGGCACAGAGCTGGGGGCATGTGTCAGCTGCCATCCCTCAGCCCCTCTGACCTTCCCACGCCTAGTGAAGCTGCAGTGTCTCTAAGAGTCAGCCTGGCATGTTTACCAGGCCAGAGGCACCCTCTCCAGCTGAAGTGAAATCACTAGTAGGGCTAAGCAACAGACCTTTGGTCACTTCTTTCCACCCATGTAGACAAAGAAAAACCTAGGAACCGGGAGAAAATGTCAAAACAGTGTTTATTAATATGTGGATGTAAAACCCAGCAGCATTGTTCTATGTGACATAGTCTAGAGATTCCCAGCCAGTGAGAGAGGGGCCAGGAATCAGGAACTAGGCTGGGTGTCAGGCACTTGTCAGTCCCCATATCAAGCACTCAGCACCTTGAGGCTATACTTGGCAGGGTGGGACAGGGTAAGCCTGGATCAGCCAGGAGGGCTCTCTGCTCCAACTCAGGCTGAAGCCAGGACCACACCTTCTGAGCATGGCTCAGCAGCCTTCTACCACCTCGGGTCTGATCTAGAGTCAGAAAGAGACCCCTGGTTAATGGGAGCCAACCATCCTGTCTCATAAGAATACAACAAAAGGTAACCCCTGGCATCAACAGAGAGGGGCTGTCCTACCTGGGATCTGGTAAGCAGGTGAGGATAGGCGGCTTTTGTCACAGTGACATTTTCCAAAATTGAAAAGGATTAAAGATACCCCCTACCTTCAGTTGAGATGAGAAATCAACCTTTGTGTAGTGGGTAGTGACAGGATGGCTAGGCCCAAGAACTCCTTGTGGAGAGAGCTCTGAGTGCCATCCAGTATTGAACTGCAGCAAGGCAGGGCTGCACCATCCAGGGAGACAGCAGGCTGGGCCCAGCAGCTTCAGGGAGATCAAAGAAGGGGCAGCCTGAGAGGGTCAGCTAGAGAGCAAGAGACCAGTCTCCCCAAGAAGGCAAAGGTAGGCCCTCAATTGTTTCTTCTTCCTCCCTTGCTCATTTACTCAGCAATTACAGACAGTAACACTGTCCCTGGTCACCATGACAACCAATAGCCAGATGCCTTTCTCAAGGCCAAGCCCATCTGTCTATCCTACATGGGTGTCTCCAAGGAAGAAAGGAAGTCCAGCCACAACTCCCAGTGACCTAGAAGGCTAAAGCCATGCCTCGGGTGGGACAGAGATACAGCCTCACTCAGGCAACGCTGGCCAAAGGTGCAGCAAGTGACTCCCTATCCTCTAGGCCCTGGCCTTTTCTAGGGCCTGAGCCTGATCTGGGGCTGCTCTGAAGGAGGTTTTGGGTCAGGGTCCTCCATCCTGAAGTTCTAAGTAACAAATTAAAATGACAAAATAATCCTTTTGTTAAAAGATTGACCCTGGGCCCTCATGGCCAGAGCCTCAGATGTAGTCTGTCACCCGGGCTGAGAAGCCTAACTCCTCCAAAGACCCATGAGCTACTGGTTGTTGCAGCCCTGTGACGTCGAGGTGCTGCCTGCCTGCTTTTTTCTCCGCTTGTTGAGGAGCCGGTTGTTAGAAGTCTTCAGGTCCTTGATCTTCACCTGATCATAGTCCACCCGCATGGTGGCCAGGGCACTGGTCATCTCCTCCTGAGAACAGACAGCATGAAGGATAAAAAGTACAGAATATACTGACCTTAAGAGCCATCACCCTCCTATCTGGGCAGCTCCTTAACAACTTCAATGACAGACTATGCTGCCCCAGCACCCACATAATCCTACTTATAGTCCTTTGTCATGGACACTGAGCTTATCTACTAGGGCACAGAAAAGTAGTGACATCCTTGGACCACATCAAGAGTAAGTAGGACAGAGAAGTGTGCCCTTGCCACTTGTTCAGAACCACAAGGCCTGTAGAGAATACCATCTCACTTGGTACCCAGGACACTGGGGCCTAGAGATTGTGCCATGGTGTCCCAGGGCTCTGACTACTATCCCATATGATCAAACCTGGCCTCTGCTAAGTCTAAAACAAGGGTGACCACCCTCCCAAATGTCAGAGGTCATAATAGAGGTTATAACCAAGACTTGAACTCAAAATCCTTTCACTGAGCCATTTGTTCAAAGTTCCCCTTCATAAAGGGAGTAAGCCAGGAGCACTACCCTGAATGGAATAATGTAGTCCAAAATGTGGAGTGCCAAGGGTTCTCCTGTGCTCTAGGCATGGGGAAAGAGCCAAGCACTGACTCTAGGGAGCTATCACCATAGAAACTTCAGGAAGACTGAGACAGAATCTACCCACCTTGACTTCATCCCAGTGGTCTTTGTCCTCCTGCAACACTCGGGCTGTGTGGAGTGGGGTCTGTGGCACCACCATTGATTGCTAGAAGTCCCAAATCCATGGATTAGAGCCTAAGGGCATGTGGAACAGTACTGGCTGCCCCCTTTTACCCCCTTCCCAATCTCAGATGGGGAAACCAAGGCTCAGAGAGGTAAAGGACCCTGACTGGGGCAATGGGTAAGCCATGTTGCAGATGGGATAGTGGCAAACATCTGTGTATAAGGGCCCATTCTAGCCCTGCACCAAGGCCTCCCGAACTACCATCCTCCTGCCAGGCTGCCATATTCCAGCTTGACACCCTGCCCTCTATAGGAGAGGGAGTGCTCACATTGATCCAAGGATGGTTCATGAACTGTGTGATGGTCAGTCTCTCAGTGGGGTCTGTCTTCAGCAGCAGGCGGATCAGCTGCTTGGCTAGGGGGCCCAGGGAAGAGAGGGGAGTGATAAGATTATAGTTCCCCACCCCTCCCCACAGACCCTCCCACATGTTGGGCCCCCATGTCAGCTGCATGTGCTCCTACTTTCCTAACCCACAAAACAATGAACTAACAACTATTTCTTATTTTAAGGCACTAAATGTTCAGGATAATTTGTTAAGCAGCAATAGATAACGAATACAACACAGATATGTTTGTGGTATATACATAGACTTGAAGTTAGAAGGGGTTTTGAGTAAGTAGGTTATCAGTCCATTTGGCAGATGTAGAAACTAAGGCTCCAAAAGTTTAGGTGATTTTCCTAGGGTCACACAGCTAGGAAGTGGAGAAGTCAGGATTTAAACACAGGTCAGTTTGACACCATAAACACAGGTCACTTGTCCAGAATGAAGGCCACGGGGGCCATGGTGGGACAGAGGGGCTCACTCACCATCCTCAGAGACCTCTGACCACTCAGGATTGGGGAAGCCATACTGGCCCAGACGAATCCTCCTCTTCATCCCTGGAGAGATGGCCTGGCCCGTATTGGAGTAGAAGGGTGGGAAGCCACACAAGCTAGGAGAGGGAGGAAGTCATTTTGCATAAGAGTCAGGGGGCAGTGCTAGGACAGATCCATTCTCTACCCCAAGCCACTCACTGGTGAGATAGGCAGCTAAACACCATAGTAATAATACTGGCTCTCTGGACTCCCAGGAACATCACTGGCCCTTGGCATGGGGACATCCTCAGTCAACCTGAAGAAGCTGTATCCCATGCCAGAAGGGAAGCACAGCCTGCTCAAGGGATGGTGACACACATGAGCCCCACTATGGACACAGAAGGCAGGGAGCAAAAAAGCAGTATTGAAGGAACATGGTGGGGGTGGGAACAAGAGGTTGAGACAAGGGTGGGGATGGTACTCACAGGATATACATGATGACACCCAGGGACCACATGTCACACGACTTGTCATACTTCTCTGGGCCCAGGACCTCAGGGGCTGCCAGGGCAGAGGACATAGGAGGGTTCTCAGCCCCAAGAATCTTGGGGCCTAGGTAGGAGCCTGAAACCTGGGCAAGGTAAGAAGTAGGTACCCAGGCTGGGAGGTGGGGAGAGCAGACTGGCGTCTGACACCTTCTGGGAAGGCAGCACATACATGAAGTTGGGAGAGGAGAAATAGCTTCCAGAAAAAAATAGCTGCTTTCAGACAGCCCCAGATCCTTTGGGCTCTTCTGCTAGTCTCAACCTTGGTGAGAGAAGGCAAGAGGAAAAGCCAGTCCAGAGCTTGGTGAAGTCCTGCCATAGGCAAGAGAGCCTCAGCCCTCCAGCTGCCCTGTGTCCCTTGTCTCCCTGAATACACAGCCTAGGTCACAGGCAAGGAGGACCCACAGATAGGGCTATGTATCACACTATCAGCTTGGCTACCAACCCAAGGGACCTCAGTCTTCATATTTGTGCAATGAGGTCAGCAAGCCAGAAGATTTCTAAGTTAAAATAATGCAAAAATGTCAAGCATGGTGGTACACACCCGTAATCCCAGCTACTCTGGAAGCTGAAGATGGAGGATCACAAGTTGGAGGCCAACCCCAGCAACTTGGAGGGACAATGTCCCAAAATTAAAAATAAAATGGGCTGAGGATTAGCTCAGTGATAGAGTACTCCTGGGTTTGCCATTTTGGTTGTCTCAGGGGGCTTCCCGCCCCTTTAGCTGCCCTCCCAGAAGACATCCCCTGAGGGAAAAGAGCCCTTGTTAGCATCCTACTTTCAGGTAAAGGGCACTTACAGAATTCTGGGTTCTTTCCAGATCTGGGAGCCACTCAGAGCTTTACCAGGAAGCATGAGTATGTGCATACCCTTAGGACTCACCCAGGTCCTGATTCAAGGGACCCTTTCCTACAAAGCAGGTGACTGGTACCCTGTATCCCTCTAATGGTGGAGAAAAGGCCTACCCATTTTCTGAATATGAAACCCAGGAAGACAGAAACCAGAGAAAAACAACCACGGTTGGGCTCTGTCCCGAGCTGATGGCAGCCTTTTATCACATATATATTTAGAGCTGCTGTGATGTCATTCAGCTCACAGTCCACAGCCAGAATTTTCCTGGATCTATTTTCAAAAGCAGAAGCTGAAGTTTGGGAGAATATTTTTGCAGCCTCCGGCCCCCCACGTCACCCGCCTCCATGCAGACAGTTCTTCCCCTCCCTCCTGGCTAGGCTTTAACTCTTTTGTTTCCATACCCCACTGGATGCCACGTATCACAGCGGTGTATGGTAGGGGTAGGGAAATATTGAACGTGTCCCAAGGACTCACCCACATAATACGGAGTGTAACAGGGTGTCTGCAGGGCATTTTGGGTGGTCTCCTTGGCAAAGCCGAAGTCAGTGAGCTTAAGCACAGCATCTTTCTCCTTGGACGTATAGAGCAAGTTTTCAGGCTATGCCAGGAAGAGAAAATGTGTGTGGGGTTAGGTACCAGGCAGAGACAGAGCCCCAAGGTGATCTTTAGCCATACTCCCTCCCTCTATTTCAATACAGGGGGAACCAGGTTCGTCTCATGAATAGACATGGCCATTGGCCATCAACAACATGGACCGCATATAGAAAAGTCAAGGTGACTGAGAGGTGCACTTTTGTTCATAGAGGGGAGAGTGAGGCAGGTGCTTAGTCAAGACTGAATGACCAAGTGCCATAGCCTAGGGGCAGGAACTTCGGACCCTGAATTGTTGAGGTTACCATGAATTGCCATAATCGGGGTGTAAGAAAAGGCAGATTGCTGGTAAGCCAGTGTTGCCAAGCACATGTCCCACACCCAGCCTGAAAGGAAACCTGCAAGGACAGCAGGGCAAAATCCACCTGAGGCTACTCAGAGAAGGCCCCCACTAATTAGACCCCAGGAGCTGTACCAAGGCAATTCTTCCCAGTTGTGAAGCACAGACGGGCCTGGCAGATGGGGGAAGTGGGGAGGGCTACAAGGAAAAGGCAGCCTTGAAGCTGGCTTCTAATGAATGGGCAGGATGTAGGTTCATGCCAAGGAGCAGGAGGGATTCCCAAGCAAGCTTGGGTAGGACAGGGAACTGGACAAAGCTCTGGTATGGAGCCAGTGGGAGCTATTTCTCAAGTTCCTTTTGAGATAATTTGACCTTGGATTGGGATAAAAACGGAGAAGCAGATTTAGCATATAGAAAGGCATCTGCTCTGCAGAAGGCTTTTCTCCCCTTAAGCAAAAAGAAAAAAAAAAGAAAGAAAGAAAGAAAAAGAAAAGAAAGAAAACAGGAAGCAGCTAGGGGTCAAAGTCAAGCAAGGATTCACAAGGTGATCAGTTGTGGCTCTACATGTATCCTGAATCACAGGATAACTATGGACTGGCAGCATTCAGCCAGAGGAAAGCTTAATGCAGAGTTGGCCCCTCCACTCACCTCTGCTTAGTCTTAGGAAGAAATAAGCCAAGTGGGGTAATGCTCCAGATTTGGGGCAGAGGGACTAGGAGGAACAAACTCTGCTCTGATGGTGGCTTGCATATGCATGTTTATGTGTGCATGTGTATGTGTGTGTGTGCATGTAGGGCTGCCTGGAAGACACAGTCCTCCCAGGAGAGGAAATTTAGATCACTGAGCTTCCAGAACATCTTTCAAGTCCACCACTGGAAGGCAAGCAAGCCCAGGAAGTGGGACTCCCTGTGTTCCTTCCCCGCAGAGGCCAACCTCTTTCTGTTAAAATGCTAGTGTTTGAGCCTAATATATTGAAACTATGGCTGTAACTTTATAGAAAACCCAGTAGCATCAGGCAGACCCTACCTGAGGCCTGGCACATTGTGTGGTCACAAAATTTCTTGCTGATTTAGTGGACGAATAAATGAATGAATCCTAGTGCAGCAACTACAGTCTTAGGCAAGCCACTCCCCCCTCTTCTCTATCTGAATCTTGGTTTGTTAATCTATAAAATGGGTAATGGTCCCTATCTCATAGGGCCGGGTGAGGAGTGAGATGCTTGTCAAGGCCTACTGGCTGGAGGCAGGAACTCAGTTATTCTTTTTACTATTGGGATTATGCAGTATTTGAAGGAAACAAAGAGATCCTTCTGGCAAGAGCATAATGAGTTTGCAGGAACCATCAGAGGAGAGGCAGAGAAAAGCAGTCTGGGCCAAGGAGCTGAATCGTGGAATGTTGACCAAAGAAATTGGCCACCATCCAGCGGGTGCTGGGAGCCATCAGGGGTTGTGGAATGGGAAAGTTGCTCCTTCCCTGGGGACAGCCTGGGTCCTAGAGCCTCACCTTGACATCTCTGTGGGCAATGTTCTGGCTGTGCAGGAACTGGATAGCAGTGCCAATATCCCGCATTATCTCTGCAGCCTCTGCAGATACAGGGAGTTGGGGGGTCAGCGATGCCAATCAAAGGTCAGGTCACCTTGGGGCCCCCACCCTATCATCCATCCTGGACATGGTATAGTAGGCCAGCACAGAATGGTGACCTTTATCCTGAACCCCAACCCCAGATACCCCAGTTTTCTTCAAGGATGCTCCCAGTCCACCTGGGCCTCTTTCCTCAGGCCTTGGCTACCCCTTCCCAGCTCATTGCAAGTCAGCACCAAGAGGCTCTGAGGCCTCCATCCGAAGTCCATCTCCAAAAGTGTCCCAGACTCATAGAACCCCTTGGGGGTAAAGGACATTCCTTCCCACCCTCCCTTATTCTACTGGGAAGATGTGATCACTCGCAACTGCGATGCAGCCCTCTCACCCTGACTCCCCAACACTGGTCCAACTGCCTGCACATACCTCTCTCAGTAAAAGCCTGGTCACCACGCTCCTGAATCCTGCTGAATAACTCACCACCTTCCATGCTACAAGAGAAGGTGACTGTGAGTAGGGAAGGGGACACTGGGCATCACTCTGCCCCTGCCCTGGATCAGAAGTCTAGGCCCCAAGCTCTAATGCTACTTCCCTGGTAAACAGACACTGTTAGCCTCCTGCGCCTTGGGGTACCTGGCGCATAGTGGGCTATCAGCTTGAGGGAGTTGATCTGAACTCATAGAACTAAGGGAAGGTGGTGGACTCATATCCCTGCCCAGAAGCCCCTGTGTTCCCAGTGGTGCTACATGGCTATGAGGTCTCAACAGCTCTAACCCCACCCAAGTCTCAGTTTCCCCAAATGCAGAACAGGATGTCAATTATAATCATCATGACCTAATGTTCTCTAAGTGCTTACTGTATATTATAACCTGTGTTCCTTCATGTGTGCTTTTGTGTGATCCTGGACTGGTTCCTTCACCTCAGATTGAATATGCAATATACATGGGGCACTCTGATCAGAGTCAAGGTTAAGATAAATACTACATTAAGATCTTCCTCCATTTCACATTGTGAGTTACAGAAATTCAGAAAGATTAGCAGCTACCCACAGTCCCATGGCTAGTGGATGGAAGAGCCAGGATCTAAACCCCTAATCTGAAGAGCTGGCTAATCTATTCAGGGAAGAGTTCTTGAAAGGTAGACACAGAGGAATTGAGGCCCAGACATGGAACTCAGGGTCTATGGAAGGCTGGGGTTGAACCACAATGCTAATGGGAGAAACCCAAGGTGAAGGTGGCCCTGGCTTCCGGTCCTGAACTTCAACAATCAACATCTAGTGGGACCATGGCAGCACAGATCCAGGAAGGAGAAAGCTTAAGGGACTAAGTATATCCCTTTCCCTCTTCCCCACTTGTCCCTACCTGTACATGTTCAGGGTGTGTCAGTCCTCTCTGATGGCTCTTCCAGCCCTCTTCACAGAGTGCAAACCACACCCAGAAAGGCCATATGACAGCTATAATCTCTTTCCCACCCTTCAGGAAATGCCACGGTGGCCAGTTACACAGCTCCATGACAGGCCCTGCAGCTACCCACTTTTCTATCCCTCGGGTGCTTGGGTGTCACCCAGAGCCGCTTTCTGAAGAACAGAGAAAGTCCTAGAAGAATGGCATGGAGCCTGGGAACAAAAGGATACCAAAGGGGCTTTCAGGAGGATGCCAGCATACCATTCCATGACAATGAGGAGACAGCGTTTGCCGTGATGCATGTTCTCATACACGTCCAGGATGCACACGATGTGGGGGCCACCTGAGGCCTGCCAGTGGTGGTCCACTTCCTGCCGGGCCTTGGGGCTGTCATACAGGAGCTGTGGGTGGGTGGGCACAGAGAGCATCAGGCTCACAGCCCACAGCCTTCCCCTTGTAGATGAGGACATGTAAGCTCAGAGAGACCTATAACCTCCCAGGTCCCATTCTGCCCTCTGAGGGGCAGAATGTAGATTCAAACCAGGTTTCCCTGCCTTGTGGTCCAGTGAACCTCTGGACTTACGGTACAAGCAGGTTAGTTAATTAATAACTCTAGGAAGTCCTGGGAAGTGGCTGGCAGGCTGGAGGGTCTCAAAGGCCAGAGAAGCCCCTGCTTCCCTTTTTGAGAGAAACAGATGCAGTGAAAATTGAGTGGGTTTGTAGTTAAGTCACATCTGCCATGGGATCCCAAACCAGGGACTACATATCCCTTCAGCCTCATTTTTACAATGAGGATGACACAGCTGCCACATTTCCCAGGCCAGGATTGGAAACTGTGCATGTAAAGTGTACAGGATGACACGTGGCAATGTTAGGCCCTCGACAACACCCCCGTGCTCCCTCATCTAGCACCTCTGCATGACAGTGGAGGGTGCTGGAGAAGAGCTGCTGAAGAGTGAAGGGTAGGCCACTCTGTCAAGCAAATCTTCCCAAAGGCCCCAGCATGAGCAGGAGGTCGCTGGAGCCAGAGGAAGGCTTCCTGTGGGAGAAGTTGAGGCCTGTGTCAGTCAGTCTATCCCTGGGACCTAGCACCAGGTGGAGGGAGACAAGACCACACACACTCCTGCAGAAGAGAAGGTAATTAAGACTTCAAATTCTCCAGGAGTGGGTGCAGGAATAAAACTGTCACTATCAAGAAAAGTGCTTCTAAAATGAGTTGCTTGATCATGACCTTCCAGTCAGTCTCTGGCTTCCAAGGTAACTTTGTAGTCTCCCTGGGAGCTGCTTCATGGGCTTCGGGGGAGCAGGGGACAATGCCATCCTCATTGCTAGAAAGGTGGGATCACTTCGAGGTCACCTAGTTGCCTAGGCTCCACCCTCATTATATGCCTACAGAACCCAGGGGAGGACCCAGAGGCAGAGACTGAGGACAGGAGAACCCTAGTTGAGGGAGATGACAGCTGGGTGGAGTGGGATGTGGGTTTGGGATTGAATTCCTCTAATGACTTGGTATGACCTTAGGCAAGCATGCAGTTACAAGCCACAGCCCACAACTCTGTAAAATGCAGTAATAACAGAGTCTTTCCTCTAAGATGCACCACAGTAAGGTAGGCATTAGGTGGGTGGGTGTCAGGATCCTTGTTCAGGTTAACTCAGCCTAGGCTGTGACTGCCTGAGACTAATCACCTGGAAATGAGCAAAGGCCCTGAGTGGCCATGCTCGAGGGAGCTATAAGGAAAGAAGTCAGCATTCAAGGAGAGAGGGTCTAGGATGTGGAGAGTAAGAATAATCCATTCTTCAGCAGTCTTGCTCACACGAGGTCCAGCCACATTTTATTTCCTAACTGGGGAAGGCTGAGGACTAGGGCTGACACCCAAGACCAGAGCTCAGATCAGTCCTGCTCAGCATCCTGCTCCATTACTCAGACCAGGATGGGAGAGAATATTAGGGTTGCTGTGGGCCAAAGCTTCTGGCCTGACACTATGGCCTGTGCCTTCCAGAGTATCCCTGAGGTCCACACTGCACAGTGCCTGAGCACCAGCTTCTTGCTCTCTGTGCTGGGTCCAGAAGGCTCAGTCACCCGTATCACCACACCAGCCCACCTCCACTGTGTCCTGAACGGCTTTAGTCAGGTCTATTCTATTCTTTGTCACAGGACACAAAATGTGCCATCCTCCCTCCCTGAACCCCATTTCTCCTATTCCTCCTAACCCTCCCGTTATCATCTCCCCCTGTCCACTACCCTCTGTCCCTGATCTCCAGCCTAACCTGACATCTCTAATCAGGACTTTCAGCCTGGCTCCTGGACCCCTCCTCACTGTTTCCCTTCTGGTATATCATTCCCACACCAGAATCCTCTCTCCCTTCTTTCAGAGAATCCGAATCCCACAACTAGAATGTTTTTTGGTGGGGTCCTCTGTCTTCTCCCCCACCCCATCCCACCCATACTAACCTTGCCTGACCTTACTTAGCTTCTAAGATCAGACAAAATTGGGCACATTCAGGGTGGTATGTCTAGACAGTGTCTCTCCCCCTCTAGCCCCTCTTCTCCTCTGAAGCTACTACACTGACCCCTTTCCTGTGGATAGACCCCTTTACCATGTCCTCCAGATAAACACCACCTTTTCTCCTGGCATCCAGACTTGCTTTTTTTTCCTTTTCCCACCTCATTTCCTGCTATCCCTGGGCAGAATGATGTACAGGGTATTCCCAAAAAGGCCCAAACCCTCTCTCAAGCTTCTACATCTATGCCCATGTAGGTCTCTGCCTCATGAATTCTTATCCCATCTCATTCTCCAAGGGTTCAACTCCCTCTTTTTGAGAAACCTCTGGAGACAGTTCAGATATTTCTGCCTCTGGAAAGTTCTCCCAGTTCCTCTCCTAATGTTTTGCCTCAGTTCCTCTGGCCAGGCTGGGAGCAGCTTGAGGGTAGAAGTAGGCAGCTGGTCCTGGGGGTCCCTGACTGGAGCATAGCAGGAAGCCCTGGGTTCCTAGGCAAACAAAGGAAGGAAGGATGGACAGGTAACAGGTAGAAAACAGGAGGTGTGGGAGGGAGGGAGGGAGGAGAAAGTGGTGGAGGGTGGAGCATTGCCACAGACGGGACAGAGTCAAAACTGGGCCTGCACCTGTGTATGCTGAAGTGGAGGAGCAGGTGGCATGTCCCTGCATTAGAGCTTCTCAAAACCCCCTCCTTTGCTCAGTCCATATTTAGGAGCCCATTTCCCCCATGAATTAAATGGTCCTTCTCAAGTGCTAAGACCATGAGTACAGGCATCAGGATAGGGAAAGGGCAGCCCCTAGAAAATACAATGCCTCCTCTGGTCTCTGCAGGGGAACCCACAGGGGCAGAGTCTTGAACCTGGGCCCACTGAGGCCTAGCTGCTGAGAAATTTCCTGGGCTGACAATCCTAACCCCCCAGGTTGACCCTTAATATAGCTTCAGATCTCTCAGAGCCTCAGTTTTCTCATCTTTCTTTACCATAGCCAGAGCTGCTGCTGCTGCCACCTCTTCCTCTGCTTCCTCCTCTTCTTCCTCTTCCTCCTCCTTCTCCAGGACTCTTTCATGTCCAGATCTTCTAACTGCCTTGTCTAAAAATGACCTCAAGGATCCCTCACACTCCTTTCACCCTATACATTTCTTTCTCTATAGTTTCTGTGTGTTTGTTTATTGAGGTATAATTTACATATAGTAAAAGGCACAAGTCTCGCAGGTGCAGCTCAATGAACTTTGAAAATTACACACACCCAGGACCCACACCCCCATCAAGACAGAAAACGTTCCCAACTCCCAGGTCACCACCCTTTTTACCTCCAGTGTAGAACTTACTGACAACCTACAATTAATATGTTCCTTTGATAACTCTTTAAACAAACACGTCATACAGATATTGTACTTTGAATGCACCTGGCTCTACTCAGAGTACTTTATAAATATTAGAAGGAAAGGACTTTATTATCACTATTTTTTAGATGGAAAATTGAGGCACAAAGAGGAGAAGTAACTGGTCCCTGGTCACATGGTTGTTTTCCCAGCCAGGCTGGCACCCAGTTGTCTTTTGCATCAGACTGTGGGCCCAGAGGGTTGGGTCAGTCTGCCTATAGGTCCCAGGCCTCAGATTCAGAGCCTGGTACAGAGCACTGACTCAGATAATGTTTGTAGATTTAATGAACAAATCCATAAAATAGGGATGAGGGGAAGACACTCTCACAATGCATCATGAGGACAGGGTAAGACTAAACTGAGGAGGAGCCAGGCAGGCTCAACAAATTGGCTACATGACATCCTCGCCAAACTTGTTCCCCACTGCCCAAGGCAGGCTGTACCTCATCTACTCTCTGCTGAACCAGACTTTACCTCTTTTTCCCAAGGACCCATGAGGGCTGCTCCAATCCATGAGGCACTTATTGCAAGTTGACCTCACTCGTGCAGATACATGGCTCCACACCAGCCTTCCTAAAAAGCATCCCCCAGCAAAAGTCCCACCTTTCCAGACATGGGAACCACACAAGGTCAAAGCCCAGGAGGCCCAGGTTCTTCCCTATTCTCAGTGTGACCTTGGGCCAAGTCCCTTTCCTCTCTGGGTCTCTGTTTCCGCAGTGTGAAACTGCAGGGCTTGGATAGAGGGAGGTGAGAGAAGAGGAGTAACAAAAGGACAGTAATGTCTTGGCCGCCAGTTGAGGGAGTACAAGATGAGAGGACGGGCTTGTGACAAACTAATAGACCCCTGCCCTTGCCTCATTGTTGTCCTGTGTTCCTTGAGCTTCCCAAAGGCCCACCAAAGATGGAAGATCTGTGATGGCACCTGGATCCAGCTTGTGCCAAATAGGTGCATAACACACACACACACACACACACACACACACATACACACTCACACACTTGCCTAGGAGGCAGAACCCCTGACTTTCTCCTAAACAATGGGGCTCCTGGCTGTACCGAAGGAGTAGGACCCCACTGAAGCTCAATGAGTTTGGACACAGCTTTTGATGTAGCGGTTTCTACCTTCCCTTCATCCCTCACTGTCCTTTGCCAAATCCTCTCATCTGTCCCTGGAGCCAGCAGCCAAGTGGCTAGACTCCTATTGACCTCACCAGCCAGCAAGCCCCCACAAAAAATTGGGAGTAGACTGGGCTGGGCCCCACAGACACATGCTCATGCCCCTTTAGCACCATCAGTTGGAATGGGGGCTTCAGAACAGCCAGGCCCCCTTACCACCTTCACACTATGTCCCTTCCTACCCAAGGACAGGGGTTACTTGAGGGTGGAGGAATTCTTGAGTTCCAGAGCTTGGAAAACAACAGCAGCATTTGCCTGTTTGGAAAATAATTTTCAGTTTACAAAACACTCTGCTGTCCTTTATCTCATGGGAATGCTTGGTGCCACCCTGTGAGGCAAGCAGGG